ATACGGCTGCAAGTGGCTACAACCGCCGATCCGGACCGGGCCGCACCAGTTGACCAGACGTGTCTGGCCCCTGACTGCGGGGTACAGCCACGGGAGGGGTGGTTAGAGGACCGATTACCGGGTTTCCCACATTGGAACCATCCAACGGATCAATATGTTGTATTTGGCCACGGTTCTGTACGCAACCTCAGTACTTATTCGCCAAACAATACCTGAATTCTCACACATCATAGTAACCCCCGTCGCTGCTGCGTTCCTACTCACTGCTGGTGTGCCAACGGTAAGTTCCTTGAATATAATGCTATTGGCAATAGAAAGCTTACATCTATATCAGGCTAGGTCTACCAGTTCAACCGTGATAACCAGAGGGATGGTGGTAAATAGCTGTGACCCGTCATGAGGCTACCTTGGAGATTATGAGCCAGTTCCCAGGATATTGCCGACGGCACTCTCAAACGGGGCAGGTGGCGCGGGTGTTGGCTGATAGTATGCAGATTCGGTCTGCAAAAAGGTTGTGAAGATGTTTCTTGCGCCGTGAAAGTTGTACTGGTAGTATAAAGTATGCTCAGAGGCTGTTCCGTACAACCATGTGGCTTTTCGGCTTTCAATAAGTATGCCACGAGCACTATAGACGGAGAGCTGCTCCATGTTGTTATGGATATCGTTTAGATCCGGGTCATCTATCTGATGATCGGCAACCCATGCCTAGAAGGTCTCGAAATACCCGGACGCTTGCTTGGAAACATGTAGTAGCAAGCTGGCAACCTGGCAGTTTGGTGAGTGTGACAAGGGCTCAAGGAGGGCTTGGAGCTAATAGCTCAATTCATCTAATAACAGTCTTTGGTATTAAAGGTCCTTGGTTTTCCCAGTCCTTGAGGAACCAAAGGTCGCTATAAATACAAGAAGTCGGTGAGCCCTAGGTCTCGTGACCGTAGCCCTTGTGTAACCAGCCATTTCCGTGTAACACCAGCTTCCTCTCTCTTTAGCTCGCCTACGAGCTATTATTCAAGGGTCATGATGATATTTACCGCAGGTTTCTGGTTAGGGTCAGGTTTCTGAATGCCAGCGCGGAAATGCTTGAATAACCTCCCGTAAATCTAGTCAGAGGCAGGGACACTGCTTGCTAGTACGATAAGAGTAATAATTTATATCCCGTAAATCTAGTTAGAGGCAGGGTCACTGCTTGCTAGTACGGTAAGAGGTAATTTACATCCTTGGTGACCTAGCAGAGGCATTATTCGCTTGATAGCCCAAGGATGGAAGGATGCCTTTAAGGGAAGACTGTTATTTGTGACAAGGGCTTAAGGAGGGCTTGGAGCTAATAGCTCAATTCATCTAATAACAGTCTTTGGTATTAAAGGTCCTTGGTTTTCCAAGTCCTTGAGGGACCAAAGGTCGCTATAAATACAAGAAGTCGGTGAGCCCTAGGTCTCGTGACCGTAGCCCTTGTGTAACCAGCCATTTCCGTGTAATAGTGAGTTAGTTCCTCTTGTATTGGGAGGGTACTCGGGCCGGTGTGAGCTCCGTCCCGACTGCTCCTCCAAGACGAATATGGACAATCCCCATTGCCTGAATGTTCCATTCCATCAAGACGACATCAGGTGTCGGGCCTTTGCCACTATTCAAATCAGGTCCTGCATCTCTACTGTGCCGACGTCTCCGGCATTGCCCACCTTGAGCATCGCAGCGGGCTTCTTCGCGTCCGAGAACTTGCCACTGTTGGCAGTGAATTGAGACCAGGTTTCATCAACAATCCTGGCCCCATTTGGAAATTCCCGTCTGGACCTGCGCCGCCGTTGTCGACGCAGATGTCGGTTGATAGGACCCCTAGGCCGACGAAGCTTCGTGCCGCAACAATTGTCGGCGGCTGGATGGCGTCGCCGATCATCTGAGTGCTGAAGTACACTGCAATAGAGCTCGATACTAGGTATCTACCTGGCGGGAAATGCACCATGGCATTCTTGGTTGTTGCTCCGTTGCAACCGGCACCGCAACTTTTGCCGTCGTCGATGGCCTGCTGGATTGCCTTGGTCGAGTCCTGCAGTAGTTACCGATCAACACAAATTCTTGGAGAGGAAAAACTCGGAGCTTTCCACGCTGTAGACTTACCCTGGCTCCAGTAGTATCGGCTTCGTAATCTTGAACATTTCGAAAGACCTATTATGACCACATCAGTTACGTCTTCCCGTCGTTCTTTGAGACTGAAGTTGACTTTGTAAGAGCTGTCATTGCCCCATGGGACGGAGCCCTCGTGGTGCAGGATTCCCAGCCAGGATGATCCCCCTCTTTTCCCAAGTGGAGAGGAATGGTTTGTTGGTAAGTGTATGCAGATTCGGTCTGCAACAAAGGTCGCTATAAATACAAGAAGTCGGTGAGCCCTAGGTCTCGTGACCGTAGCCCTTGTGTAACCAGCCATTTCCGTGTAATAGTGAGTTAGTTCCTCTTGTATTGGGAGGGTACTCGGGCCGGTGTGAGCTCCGTCCCGACTGCTCCTCCAAGACGAATATGGACAATCCCCATTGCCTGAATGTTCCATTCCATCAAGACGACATCAGGTGTCGGGCCTTTGCCACTATTCAAATCAGGTCCTGCATCTCTACTGTGCCGACGTCTCCGGCATTGCCCACCTTGAGCATCGCAGCGGGCTTCTTCGCGTCCGAGAACTTGCCACTGTTGGCAGTGAATTGAGACCAGGTTTCATCAACAATCCTGGCCCCATTTGGAAATTCCCGTCTGGACCTGCGCCGCCGTTGTCGACGCAGATGTCGGTTGATAGGACCCCTAGGCCGACGAAGCTTCGTGCCGCAACAATTGTCGGCGGCTGGATGGCGTCGCCGATCATCTGAGTGCTGAAGTACACTGCAATAGAGCTCGATACTAGGTATCTACCTGGCGGGAAATGCACCATGGCATTCTTGGTTGTTGCTCCGTTGCAACCGGCACCGCAACTTTTGCCGTCGTCGATGGCCTGCTGGATTGCCTTGGTCGAGTCCTGCAGTAGTTACCGATCAACACAAATTCTTGGAGAGGAAAAACTCGGAGCTTTCCACGCTGTAGACTTACCCTGGCTCCAGTAGTATCGGCTTCGTAATCTTGAACATTTCGAAAGACCTATTATGACCACATCAGTTACGTCTTCCCGTCGTTCTTTGAGACTGAAGTTGACTTTGTAAGAGCTGTCATTGCCCCATGGGACGGAGCCCTCGTGGTGCAGGATTCCCAGCCAGGATGATCCCCCTCTTTTCCCAAGTGGAGAGGAATGGTTTGTTGGTAAGTGTTTTGCATCAAGTTCGGCGAGCAAGGCCGCGGCTCTGGCTAGGTCATTGGTGATGGTGAGCAGGGGTGGTGCCAGTTCAGCATGACGCTTGGGTATCTGGATTCCGGGCTTTGTCATGTAGTTGTTGAGGGAGGGATTACCCACACGGGCCTTGTTTAGCTTCGTCATTTTTGTAATTGCATCTTTGGTCAGGCGCGTCGCCTCGATATAGGCGGAGGATGTATTGCCAGATGTGACGAAGGCAGAGAACGAGACACGTGTCTCTGTGTGGCTTGCGTTTTGATCAACTCCAGTTGCACCGGCAGCAAATGTGACCATTTGTTGATTCAGCATGCAAACCCACGCCAGGACACGCTTTGAGCCACATGTTCCTTAAAGTTGATACTTTGCTCGCAAGATTTGCTCAGACAAAGATGATGGTGAGGGACTCGAGAGAATATGAACCGGCATGGTGAGAAAGACATATTTATTTCATGAATGTATTTTCACAGTTGCTACACCTCCTTATATTCATTCTCGGCTGGGATTCTTCCGTGGTCGAAAACAGTGCATGTTAAATGATAGAGTGCCACAGAGCCACTTATTTTAGGAAAAAAGACAGGGCCTGTTCGAAGTAGAGTGCAATAACACGGGCAATAACCGAATTTGCTGATATTAAAGACTATCATTGGACTATCAGACTTCCCTGTGGCAAGACTCTCAGGCTTCCCTTTTTACGCTGTGTCACCATCCATCGACCCTCGAGAAAGCGAGCCAAGTAGTCTCTCATCTCCGACCTGGTCCCTGCAGCCTCGCCAGCGTGACTACGATAATCTCACGTTCTATCATGCGGCAATGTCGTACAGTGAGAACCAACAACATATGTTAGGAGCCAACCACTTACACGCGTACAAGCGCAATTTCACACAACCCCGCATGGGAAGGCCCTTTTTACACCGAGTATTAACTTACCTAGTACTGAATCTGTATCACGGCCCCGCAATTTACTGCTGGCGATGGCTCAACGTTGGTCTGGACTCAGATGTTGGACGAGATGCGTGCTGCCCCCGCGCAACCCCCCAAACCACCTTGATCACTATTCTTCTGCATGTGTTTGAGTCGCGATGAACACGTTGCACGGTGCTTTTTTTAATACCTTCGGAAATTAGCGGAGAGTTTCACCATTTACATTAATACGATTCATCACTCTTGAGTGATGGCAATATGACTTCGACATCGGCCAACCAGACAGGGCCAAGGACGGCCACAGCTCAGCCCCTAACAACGGCATTTATTTTTCCATCAAATTGTACCGGACACTTCCCCAGCACGCATAACGTCGCAGTGCCTGGTTTGGACGCGTCTTTCAAAGTCATTGCCTCCATTCCGAGCCAATATCCAACATGTCAACCAGTGGGGTGGAATACTGGACCTACTCCCTTTGCCTTCAGCCCTGCCGTATGCCCTAGCGGGTGGACTGCATATCAGCTGCAGGTCCACACTACTTGCGCAAGTTCTGAGTCTTCCAGGCTTTTGTCCAAGGCCACTTGCTGCTCTAGGTACGTGCCTCTCAAAGCGCCAAGGGCAGTCTAGCTCAAGTTGCCGTTCGTTTGCTAACGCGGCAAGAAACCACGTAGTGGCTTTAACTACTCTTTCATCAGAAACGTACCAATTACTGGCAATAAAGGGGGTGCCTGTATCCAAGAAATCGCGATGTCAGATACCGCTACTCGAGTCGACTCACAACACTCGACATCTACACGTGGAAACGTCTTCCCGAACCGTGTCCGCGCCCACTATCCGTGGGTAGTCTCCTAGGAGGCCTCCGACTTTGCCAACCTCAGCCCAACTCCGCCGCTGCTTAGTGATTGTGTCAATATTCACATCAACACATGGGTTCCTGGCGCGACAGTCGACTCAGAATCGTGGGAGTCATGCATTTCCTGTGATGATGGTGCAGGTCCTTTGGCTAAATGTGTTATTCGGCGTGTAAGGAAGAGGAGACGCAGAAGGGCGGCCGCGGAAAGGAATGAGATGAAGGTGAGCAGCGATCGGACTGGCTAGCTTACAGTAGTCATGTCTATGGCTGAATGTAGTGAGTGAAAGGTAGATGGAATATATCAATGTCTCGCTGCTACGGGATGATGCAGGGTCCAGCGCGACATGAAGCTCGGGATACTCGGGATACTCGAGCCTCGAATACAGAGTGAAAAACAGCTTTCATCATTCAGCTGGCATTTCATCCGGCCCGGTCTTTACTTGGTTCTGGTGGAGGTCAAGGGAAGTAAGCAAAGACCCCTTGGAAGATGGCGGCAAGTTCAACACGGATACTGCAAGTATGGTACTGTTATCTATGAGGATGCAGCGTAAAATATTGAGGAGTGTATGTTGATATCTCGCGAGGATAGGTTGCAGACCAATGACGAAGACAACGGGCTTACTCACTCGGCTGATTTCGAGACCCGAGCTGACCACAGTTAGCCCAGATTCCACCTCACCGAGAAATATTTGTCTATTTACTCCCGTAAATTTGTATTATCCCGTGACTGCCCGTCCATATGTGTCTGAATGGCCTGCCGTGCCGGCTGGGTCGGTATCTATGTATGTGGGCGACTGCGGTCGCACGTTGGCCACTTGGTGCAAAAACTGCTCAAATAAAAATATGCAAGCTGCAGATACTAGTTTTTGGCCAAGTGGACTTCAAATTATGACCCTTTATTCGACCTACTGATCTTTTAGGTAGTTTTATCAGAGCAACAATATATGTAGCTCTATATCGCCTGTGAGTAATCTCACTGTGAGATCAATGTACGTAGAATGCCAGAGATTAACTTAAATAGAACCGTTTTAGGCAAGAGGCTATTTGCATATCAGGACGTGGTCCTACGGTGGGTTATTTTGGTCGTGACAGGCGGGAAAGCTACAAAGAGTCGATATACATACCGACAATGCACGACAACCCCGGGCACTGCGCAGATTCTACTTCCGCCACGGAAACGAGCACAGAAGATCATCATCTCACGTCCGAGAACGTGGCTTTTACCAGCGAGAAGCTATGGAAGGTACGTCTTCGCTTGAAAATGATGATTGGACATCACTCAGCCCGCGTGGCGCAAGGCGTCAATGACTACGCGAGGGCCGCTCACTCAAATGGATCGCATTAAAATAGAAGCTGTGAGCTGGAAAGCGAGGAGCTACTGGACTAAAAAGTTTCATTTGAGCTAGTTTAGCAGGAGTGACACAGCGTAGTGTCACCAGCCGAAACTCTACTAGTGCTTTAGTAGCTTTTAATGACAAGAAGCATATCGCTTCACTTTGAAAAAAAAATCAAGTCAGAGCCTCAAAAATTGGACTTTCAATGTCTAACCATGCTTTAATCTTACGTGGATACAAGTCGAAGGAGGCCAGAGTCAAACCGTCGCACCCACATGAAATCAGAAAAGGGGACCAGGAAAAATGCAACGATTCTGACAGAGACTGGCTCTCTAGCAGGTCTTTAGGAAGCAAAATGCCTCCCAAATAAGTCTCTTCTTGGAATTCCTCTCCACATCCGGTTCGTCGGTAGGGCCAAAAGCTACTAGATTCGTGGTTGCATGAGGCGAGATACGAAGGTGAATATGTATTCCTAGTCTTGGCAGTTCCTAGATTCAAATCAGAGGACCCTCCGGCATGCATTAGCATGGTACTAGGCCCAATTTGTCGGGAAATTGTGCTGAGGCATCGTGGCTGCAAAATTACCTTTCCCATTTTTGAAGTCATGATGCCTATTCAAGCTTTGGGATAAGCTTTCAGTTTGACAGGCAGCAGACGGTACTAAAGCCAACTTTAAACTGCTTAAAGGAAACAAGCACAAAATTATATAAGAGACTCGAATCGTCATCCCCAGCATGCTCACCGGCTTGTTCGGCTCGTTCTGCTCTCTTTCACGAACCCAGATTGGCAAATATACTCAGCGACTTCTCGGCAAATCAACCCAGCTTTACTGCAAGATGCGTCCCATTGTTTTGGCTGGACTCGTGGGCACGATCCTTGCTATCGAGAGTCCAGAGGAATGCGCCGACAGATGCACTGTTGAATGGTATGAGTGCAAGGGTACACACGGGGGGCGTTGGCCCTGCGACGGTGCCTATACAGTCTGCTTGGGTTTTAATCCTTTCGTGAGAGGCTACGACGTGCCTGTTGCTTGCAAGGGCAAGGACAAGCCCTTCGACCCGTACGCTCCGCCTCCCCCTTCACCACCTCCGCCTCCGACTCCGACTGTTTCTACGGATATCCATACGCAGGAATGCATCTGGGCGTACCAAAAGTGCACCGCCAAACCCGATGCCAACAAGTCCACATGTCGTGAGAAGTACCACGCCTGCCTGAAGCACAAAAGTGCCAGAGCAATAATTGAGAAGAATATGATGGTGGACTCCGAGACCACGGAGCCTTTCATCACCAAGGCCCCTTCTCCCTGCGCTGCTGGCGATTCGGATTGCTCCGAACATAGTCCTTCCTCCAGTACCATAGAATATCCTTGGGAAACGATGACGACGGACTTTGAGACCACGGAGCCTTCCATCACCGAGACTCCTTCTCCCTGCACTACCGGCGACTCGGACTGCTCCGGGCCCAATTCTTCTCCCGGTACCACAGGAGAACCTCAGGAAACGACGACGACTACGGACTCCGAGATAGTAGAGCCTTCAGTCTCCTCAGTCGCAAAGGCCGCTTCTCCCTGCGCTGAACGCTGCGTGCGCGACTACTACAGCTGCTTACTGGTGCCCGACTTCAACCACTGCCCAACGTTGCTCGTTCAATGCCTTGGCTATAACCCTTTCTATAGAGGCCAGCTGAACCTTCCTATTGCTACCTGTGCCAAAGAACCGACATCTACTTCCACTACGACTTCTACTCGCACCCCAACTCCCACGCCCACGCCCACGCCCACTGAGACCATCATCCAGGATAAGTGTGCCAAAGAGTGTACTGACGCATACAACGCCTGCAAGCTCTTGACCAACTCCCACGAAGCAGTGTGTGGTCTTGATCTCATACGTTGCGTCGGTTATAACTATTTCAAGGAAGGCTTACGGCTTCCTACCACCTGCAGAACGCCTACGCCTGAGCCTACGCCTACCGCCGACACCTGCGCTCAGAATTGTCTCGACGAGTGGAACAGCTGCCAGAAGAGCTCAAGAAAGGGCCGAGCCTACTGCAAGTCTGCCATGACTGACTGTCTGGGCTACGACCCCTTCAAAAAGGGCTTCAAGAAACCTACTGCTTGCCGGCCGTCAGCTGCCCCGGCTCAGACCGCTCAACCTACTCAAGCTGCTTGCCCCAAGAACCGCACCGAGGAATGGAAGGCCTGTCGTTCTAGCCCTGGAGCGAACCAGTCCCTCTGCGCTTCCGACTTTAAAGATTGTCTTGGATACGCCCCTTTCTTGAATTCGACAAATTCGACTTTGCCCGTTTCTTCCTCCAGGCATATACCCGGGAATATGACAACCGCGGCTCCCTTCCCCTTCACCAATCTGACCAAGCCTGAGTCGACAATGACTGCTGTCTCTGACTTCCCTATGTCTACATCGTTCAGTTCTTCTCCTCAGACTCCGGTTGGCACCCTCTGGGTCCCAACTGCTACCACGACTTTACCGGCTACCACGACTTTACCGGCTACCACGACTTTACCGGCTACCACGACTTTACCGGCTACCACGACTTTACCGGCTACCACGACTTTACCGGCTACCTTGATTGCTGCCGCGGGTCGTCTGGAGCCGGCGATGCTCCTGGTTGTTCTTCTTGTTGCTTTGCTGTAGGTCCTAGGTAACTGATAAGAGATTGCCAATATTTGCTGCAAAAATGTTCCCATCACTCAGCTGCAGCATCAGATAGCCCAGCTACATTCTTTATCCTGAGTTTCTCAATAAAATCTTTGTGATGGTGTGATAAAGTCTGTGCCGATGATATAATTGACGTACTCCGTTGGCTTGGCTCTCGGCTCAAAATGTGATGCATGAGCTGCTGCAAATTGATTGGTCCACAAGCGATGAAATCCACGCGACACCCGGCTTTGGTCTGGAGACCCCGCAATTCCCCCCATTCTCATTCTGGGCGGCTCCTTCCTTGCACTAGCAGAAGCAGCTTGGCAGCACAAGCACATGCATGGATGGAAGTCAAGTCAAGTGAACATGGAACTGCGCGAGGCGGGAAAATCCCCGACATCGCCTCACGCTGACAGCCCATACTCCCAGCCCAACTCTCCTCCATTCCGCATCTGTCCCGTCCTGCAACATCCAACGGAGGCATACTGCGCACTGGGCTCCGCCATGCAAACCAATGTCGTTGCTCGGCGCACCCAGTTCTCCAGTTGTGACGAGTGCCGTCGATCCAGAGTGGGTTGCGACGCTCTGAGCCGCAGCAATGAGACTGGCGACTCGTCTGCTTCTTGCACCCGGTGTTTGAATCGCAACCAGCAATGTACATTCAAGGTATGCATCCTTTTTCCTTCTCTTCTTTTGCACAGCTATTCCATAATCAAGGCCAGCTAATCCGCGCCTAGTGGATGAAAGAGAAGGGCGCCGAGCCAAAGCGCCCGCCATTGGGCCGACGCAAGCTTCGCCGGCAATCCGAGATATCTAGTTGTGGTGGCCCGAATGTCCTTAATGACAGACAAGATGACCGAATGGCCTCATCTCCTCGTGATCCTTGGGACCCCACCAAGCCTAGGCAGACCACTGTCTCTTCGCCGGCAGCTACAGATTCGACAACCGGTTCGATTTCGGACTTGCTGAGCCCGCTGGAGAATACCTGGCTTCAGGTTCTTTACCGTGATGGATTTGACGCCGTTTTCGGGTCTTGGATGGGCAGGGACGGCTGTCCATTCCTGTATGATTCTTCCGTTTTTCCGAGAATTTTCGTAGGTCTTGCTAATTCTCCAATAATTATAGCTTTGCCGAACACAGCTTGGCAGGAAAGCATGTCAACATCGCCGAGGTTTGTGGTCGGCTGGACCAGTGGATAGCCGAGAACTCTGATGATGAAAGGAATAACCCTTTTCGCGCTCCAGTCCGTGAACCTCGCATAAAAGACAGATTGATTGATCAGTCAATGCGAAGCACGATTGCTGCTTTTTCGGCCCGATGGCTCTACATCACCGTCAAGGGCGATGGGTCAGAACAACACCACCAAAACATTGTGCTTGCCCTTTGGAGAACTGCCCGACGAGATATGCTTCGAGTTATTAATCGACCATCTTACCGGTCTATGCTTTCGTTGTTTTTGTTCGCGTTGACCCCAATTCCCACTGGCATATCAGAGGAGGAGGAAATTGATGGCATTTCAGGGCAAGCGTGCGTACATGCGGCCTTGCAGCAGATACAAACCTTGCGAGCGAGACAGCGAAACTTGCAGTTCAGTGGATCAAAAGTGTCACCGTCCACGGTCAAGTCAAAATCTGCCGTAGCTAATCCCGATGCCATCGGCAGCTCGGACTTTATTGCCGCAGAGAGTATTGCTTACTGGGCAGCTTTAACATTCGATACATCAGCATCTTTGACTCTCAACTGTCGCCCATTGTTATCTTCTGGTCTGTTCGGATTTGATGCTGAGCTTCCTTGGCGGCTGATACGAACTAGCGCCAAAATGTTTTACGAAATGACAAAGACTTGGCGGGCTGACGGAGTCATTGACATGACAGATGAACGAGCAAACCAAATTATTGCCAGCGGAAGTGCATGGAAACTTCTTGCTTGGAAGCTGACATCAGTCTTCAAAGAGGCTCTGCGCGACGGACATAATGAATCGGAAGTCAGTAGAGCGTTCGGCTTCGTCACTGGCGCAGTTCAACAGTTCGATGACGTCTTCCGACGCCCTTTGGAGGCGTGTCAAAGGCGAATGCACTTTCTCGGACAACAAACAAAACTTCGCTGGTGTATGTGATATGCAGCATGCTGTGAGGCATATTGACCTCTTTGCTAACCTTTATTCTAGACTCCTTAATGTTGCATTACCATCTTAGCATTTTGATGTTCATTGACATCATTGAAGCTACTGAACGATACGACTTGTTGGCTAGCGTGACTGAGACCAACGCCGACGCAGAAAACGCTGTTATGAATGCCCTGGTTTTTGGACTTCAAAACTCTTTTACCATGACTGTAGCATCAGCCTCCAGTCAACAAGATGCCGACGAAGCGTTCGAGGCATCTTTCACTGTACCCATCATATCCATCGATCCATACCCGCATCATGTTGTTGCTGGTGTCCAGCTCATACGGAAAGCTATTGACAGGGACTTGAAACAAGGGAAGATTACTGATGAATCGCATACAAGTCTTCGATCTACACTGGAAGCGGCGCTAAGCCATCTTCCCCAAAGCTCCAAGTCTGTGCAGGCAGCACGGAACCGATCTTCTGAGATGGGAACACCGGATGCGATATTGTCGCGCCAAGATCCGTACGTAGTCTTGCAAGCACAGTTCGCGGAATAGCACATACTCAAGGTTGACTTACCAGATGATTCCATTGACCTTTCAGCTTCGTGGGCATTTTGCTGGTGGAGGGTCGTGGCCACACCGTACCACCCGGGGCTGTAGGCCTCCTCCTTCATCCGATCTATTAAATGTATTTCTTGGCAAAAGGTACAAGGGAGAAACACCCTCCATTTGACTTCTGCATCGACTAGGGTCGATAGTGGCAACAAATGAACGGCACTAATTACCTGGCCAAGTAGACCCAAAGCTCGGACGCAATGCAACACAAAGCCATGTGGTATGGTCGGGCTATTAGACCGCACCCGGAACACGTGGGGTCGTTGTTTTGAAAGGTAATAGGCTTATCTAGCTTACAATCTCTCATTTTGGCTCCCTCCTCGGGGTAAATTAATGAATGTTGCGGCCTCGGTCGACCTGCCATTGTGGTAGACGGATCCGATGTGCCAGATCGACATCGAACTCCACATCGGATCCGAATACCGTGCAGCTGGACTGGCACTCAATTCTCAAGAGTTGTATTGAGAATCAACGTTGAGTTTCTTTCATATTCTCATTGAGATCTTACTTTTTTCTCTCATTTTCATTTTCCCATCTTTCCATTGAACGATAGATCGGCTAGAATGCATATGACAATAGCACGGCTGGCGAGGTCATCGGTGACCGTTCTCGGAGCAGGTTCACAAGGTAGACGCCTTGCTTACATGGTAAGTGATCGGCCTACGTTGATGAAAGACTCATCTCTAATCGCCTTCTCTAGTGGTCAAGCAGAGGCAACGATGTCAACTTGATTGATGGGAAACCAAGTCAACTCCGGGAAAGCATTGAGAGCGTTAATCAACTGCGATCCCAACTTGATCCGAATGGCAACTTTGGCAAAGTGCGTGCACATTCGCCAGATTTCATGAGAGCTTCCCTGGTTGAATCATGGCTCGTGGTCGAGGTACGTTGCGGCATGAATACAATGATGCGATTCGTTGTTAAGACTGTCGCAGTGCATTCCCGAACGCTTGCGCCTGAAGCAGGAAGTTGTAACCCAACTTGATGCCTTGGCGCCAGAAGACACGATCATTGCATCTAATTCTAGCAGCTATACTTGCTCTGAAATTGTCTCTGGGCTATCTCTGAATAATGTGAAACGGGTTTTGAGTGCTCATACGTGTACGTCCGTCATCAACCCCCTTATCTTTATATATGCTAACTGTTCATTTCGTAGACTGGCCACCGGAAACCACAGGTAACTGGAGATTGTTTCACAAGTATTGGGTTCAGTATGTTAACAGAGAATAGTCATTGAGATCATGGGGCACAAATCAACTGATCCATCTCTGGTTCGGACCATGATGGAACGATGCGCTGCGCATGGATTCTCGCCATTTCACGTGAGAAGCTCATCGATGGGATACATTTACAATAGGCAAGTCATTGATGTGCCCGATGGGCGTCAAGGCGATATGGAGTCTTCTAATGCTGAATAGAATATGGGCTGCCATCAAGCGAGAAGCGCTCCTGACAGCAGCGGAGGGCGCGGGCACACCAGAGGAAATCGACGCCATTTTTAGAGACGTATTGAAGACCGGAAAGGGTCCATTTGAGCTTATGGATATTGTCGGCCTCGACGTAGTGCTCGATATTGAGCATCATTATGCTGCTGCGAGAAGAGATATCCCGGAAGAGCCAAGAAGCTATCTGGCCAGTTACCTTGAGAATGGACATCTTGGCGTGAAGAGTGGACAGGGATTCTACAGATATGACAGCTCTCCATCGATGCAGCTAGCAAGCCATCAGGAGATTGCATCTACTACAGCCACGTGAGATAGACACAAGACAAAGCACCCCTCGTATACGTATATGAGCATAGACAGCGGCATAGCTTGATCTGAGTTTCCCGAATGGAGAGTTTCGCACCTTTTGCCAGCCAACGGCCAACTTCAACAACATGGATAAAATTCGAGCCTGTTTCTGCGCCCGTTGCTCCCGGCGCCACCGAAGTGGAGGCGACCGCCTGATAACGAACAAGCAACTCTCGGGTTATCTACAGCGTCTTCAACGATGGCTTCTTCTCCACTTCGCATCCGGCGCAGACAACTCTGAAAGTCGGCTTGACGTTATGCATATAACGGTCTGCCATGGCGTCCGGATAAAACCAGGAATCGAACAAATGGAGGGCGAATGGAAAACTTGGCCGTCGCACGATGGGCCTAGTTCGGATGGCGGTCAACCCCGCGTTTTCGAAGCCACAAAAGCTGGGGAAGTCAAGAAATATTGTGGAGAGGGTGAAGCAAAGACGGGCGGTTAACCGCACTTCAGGTCCACTCATTCATTGCCTTGTCTGGGGTGATTTGATGGTCATCTCCATCATGGGTACGCCATGGCCCATCAGAGTGAGCGGAATTGGGGACGACGCCGCGAGCTGAATAAACCAGGCTTCCCTCTTCAAGGAGGAGTCGTCATCGGAGGCCCAACTGTTGTACCTCTCCGGGTCCGTACTCCGTATTGGAGCGGGGAAAATGGAGTCGCGTCTCGAGAGCTGTTTGTTGAAGCTCAACATTTACTGTGCAACCAACGCAACGGTGTGGCTTTCCGTGGCAATTTTAAAAGGGCAAAGTGTTGAACAGCACTGGGTACGTCCCTCGTGCATCGTAAAGTTAATCTCGGACAAGGTTCCAACGTTGGTTTCTTACTTGGGTGGCATACCTCGCCCGTATAGGCCAACTCCTCCAGCAATAGTAATGCTGACCTGCCGGTGGTATTGCCTACCTAGGTACCTACACTTGTCTAGTTGCTGTGTCTCGGTTCCGAATGAAGAACCAGGCAATGAGATGATGGATGGGGCCTTGGTTCAAAAGTGTCTGAGCTCCATTCCTATGCAACACAAACACAGTATAATATATGAGCCTGGGTCCCCCCTGGTTTCTGCCTCCCCATCAATAGTGCGGACAAGTCGGAAGACGCTGTCCAGTCTGCCATTCCTCTCACACTCTCCTACGCTGCTTCATCGCCGCCTGCAGACCCCAAGGTTTCTTCAGCCGCCAGCATGATGTCCCGCTCGGGCCAATCGACTGAAAAAGTCGTAATGCCCTTCAACCATGACGAATATGCTGCTGGTGACAACAAAGCCGTCAGCGACACGGATGACATGGGCGTCGGAACGGTCGCGACACCACCTAATTTTGACCATGTTGATGAAAAGAAGATTCTTTGGAAGGTAACCATCTCGCGCCTCGACTCTCCCATTGTCCACCGAGGAATGCCACGCTCATGTACTCTAGATGGATATCCGTTTGATCCCCATGCTGGCGCTCCTCTACCTCCTCTCATTTCTTGACCGTAAGAGCCCTCTCACACCACAACTGGAGCTGTAACTGAGAAGCACAGGCGGAAACATTGGCAACGCCGACGTCGAAGGCCTCAGTGCCGATCTCGGCATACAACCGGACCAGTACAACTGGTGCCTCACCGTCTTCTTCTTCACCTACGCCGCGTTCGAGGTCCCGTCCAACCTGCTCCTCAAGAAGCTCCGCCCCAGCCGCTGGCTGCCCACCATCATGGTGGCATGGGGACTCGTCATGACGCTCATGGGCCTGGTTCAGAACTACCACGGCCTCCTGATTGCGCGCATCTTTTTGGGCGTCACCGAAGCCGGTCTCTTTCCCGGGGTCGCTGTGCGTTGCGTTTCCTGCTTTTCCCCTCCGGAATCCCCTTTTGTGGAAACTAACGGGAGCAGTACTACCTGACAATGTGGTACTGCAGACACGAAATCCAGTTCCGCCAGGCGCTTTTCTTCAGCGCCGCCTCCGTGGCCGGTGCTTTCAGCGGCCTGCTGGCATTTGCAATCAGCAAGATGAACGGCACGGCCGGGCTCGAAGGCTGGCGGTGGATCTTCATCCTCGAGGGAATCGCTACCGTCCTCGTCGCGTTTTGCGCCTTCTTCCTGATTCATGACTTCCCCGATACGGCGTCATTCTTGACAGAGGATGAGAAGGCGTTTGTGATTCACCGCCTCAAGTATCAGGGCCAGACGGTGATGGGCGGTGGCGATGCCGAGACGCAGGCAAGGGCGCAGGTGGAGCAGGCCGAGGAGTTTGAATGGAAGTATGTCTGGCAGGCGTTTAAGGACTGGCAGATTTGGGTGAATGTTCTCGTGTACTGGGGTGTAAGCTCTTTTCCCATCTCGCTGTTTTTGCTGCGGACAGCTAACGCAGGGGTCGTAGATTGTCTGCCCACTCTACGGAATCAGCTTGTTCCTGCCGACCATTATCAAGAGCCTAAACTATTCCAAAACAGAAGCGCAGCTCATGACGGTCCCGATCTACATCACTGCCGCGATATTGGCCGTCATTGTCGCCTTTTGCTCCGATCGAGTCGGCAAACGGAGCCCGTTTGTGATTGGCTTCATGTGCATGATGCTGGTGGGATTCGCAATGTGAGTCGAAATGTCCGCTGGGCGCCGAAACGTTTGCATCTTGCAAGGGGAGACGAGGGCTAACTGCTCGCAGGTGCATTGCCTCGAGCAACCCCAAGGTGGTGTACGGTGGTGTCTTTGTTGCCGCGTGTGCGATTTACCCTGCTTTCCCTGGTGTCATTGCCTGGCTGTCGAACAACTTATCCGGCAGCTACAAACGCAGTGCGGGCATGGCCCTGCAGATTGGTATCGGTAACCTCGGGGGTGTAAGTTTCTTCGCGGTCCATGCTATCATGACTCTTTGCTGACGGGCTTTTTTGTGCAGGCCATGGCCTCGAACTTTTACCGAAAGAAAGACAAGCCTCGCTACTTCCTGGGCCACGGCCTGGAAATCGGCTTCATTGTGCTGGGTATCGCTGCGGCATTCATTCTCGTGTTGGGCTATAGGTGGCTCAATCGCAAGAGGGAGAGACAGTTGGCTGAGGGGCAGGACAAGAACTACACCGCGGCTGAAATGTCGGCGCTGGGAGACAAGGCGATTACATTTAGATACATGTATTAGCCTGCTCGGACGTGCAGTTTGCCTTGATTGAAATGAACCATCGGATACAAGATCCAAGTGGCTATTGAGGCCTTTCCTAATCGCCACGTATTGTTGCTTTACGGGCTGGTGTCAGGAAATGCATGTCGTCCGTCTTGCTGCTGCAGAGCAACTGGTCACAGTAGTATTCTTTCAGACTCTAGTTGACATGTGGTACGGATGGGTCTGCGGTTCATCTGCTGTACCTCTCGTGGTATACGATACGGGAAATAGTATACTTGTTGTTCTGTCCCCTAATCCTTTCATTAGTATTCCGAACTCGATGCGTATAGCGGATCAGAATGGTCTGTGATAGCAAGACCCTAGTCTACTCGTTGTATGAAGACATCGTGTTGTATCGGTGTGACAAGGGCTCAGCGAGGGCTTGGAACGACATGGTTCAATAACGGCTTTCCATACATTTTACCTGGTTCCTCTTACTGCTTATCTACATCACATGGTCCAAGTATCAGCGACTTCATTGGCATACTCAAAAGTCTCGACAGTCTTCAGCTTGCTCCATTTGTCCGGATGCCGCTTCGCATCAACAAAGTGCTTCATGGCCAACAACATCTGATGCGCCCATCTCTCAGGGCTCACTCGCCCCATCCCAGTTGCCAGCGGCGTCATCAGGATCCTGGAGATTCTATCCCCCGGACTCCCCTTTCCTTGATCCACCGCCCGATTGTGCTTGTCGATGGTCACCAAGAGGCTCCAGATACTCTCGTATACAACTTCCCTGTCCCACTCTACTTCCTGCGGCATTCTCATGGTTGGGCACAGAGCGATATACCTCGTGCCCCAGACGTTCTTGGATCTGGGTAGAAACTCGTCCGAAATGCGGACCAAGGTGCAGCTCCCGGGCGGCGCGAAGCCACACCACTCATCGTATAGCGTTGCTTGAGCGACGTTGGTGAGGGCGAGATAGTCGCCTCGCGGGGAGAATGCGCGGGAAATGGCATCGTCGAACCCGCCGTCTAAGCGTCCGTACGAGTTTGCCGGAGACACGACCAGGTCGAACTCGGCCGTATCTGGGACGAACTGGAGAGCGGCGCCGTGAAGCTCGAATTGGACCGATGCAGGCAGTTGATACGACTTGGCGGCCTTTGTGAACGCTTCGCTACATCGCTCCTCCATGCACAAGAGGTGGATGTATGGGATTATTGGCGGAGCGTCGGCTGGCATGATGACGCCGGGGAGGAGCTGGTTTATTCAGATTGCGTATATTCGCGGCAACGTCTGCTTAGACCACCAGACAAGGCGAGTTCAGCGTTCATAGGTGTCAAACGAAACATGGACATATTAGAGAGAAATCTGTCAATCTTACATGAGAGCTAAACTGTTGCCTGACGATCAGACCGGCGTTGCAAGCCCCGCCTGGGCACAGCCACCCGCTTCATCTTTTTCACGCTTCTCGTGGCGTTGTGGTCTCCCAGGCAAGGCTGTGAATGGGAACGAGTTTGATGTGGGAGTCGCGTCTGTTGTTTTTGATCCCCGCACATTCTTCACTCATGCAAGCCATAGGAGTGGACTTCGAGTGTCCTTCGAAAATGTGATGCGACTGCACGGCTGTCATGAGATATATCATCAAATATGGCGGCTACCGCTCGGAATACATTTTTCGCCGACCCCTTTCTTCACGTGCATCTAGAGTAGGGTCAGAATCATGCACGTCAGCCAAACCTGAGGCAACTCGGTCTTTCGGACCGCACACGACGCCGGCTTGCCGTCCAAACAGACAACTGAGGCCGCACGTCAACTATCTAGGAACTAGTCGCAATTATTCTGGCCGTTTTGGGGTGCCCTGACTGCTCCTGGAGTCCTGATGGAAGCGGTCACCTATCTACGGCCAACCCATGGAGCGGCCAGGCCTGCTTTGTTCGCATCCAACATGGCAAAGGGAGCCGAAGAGGGCTGTACTAATCGATGGCTCGGGCCCGGCTTTTTACCCTCGAGGAGTCGAAAATGCCGTTGGCTCACCTGATGAGTGTGAGTCACCGAGTGTATCTCAATCTGCCCAACGTACAGTGTAACATGTTGACCGCGTACAAGGAAGATGAATGATATGGCGATAACTGGACCATTTTATTGGCTTACCGGATATCTCGAAAGACGGCTCAGGCACACCAACCTGCACATTGGTGGAGGCACGGCCATTTGAAGCTGTATTCGCTCTATTCGCGCTCTCGGGGTTTTTGAATGAGCGATGGGCTGCACATTCCGGACATTGTTCCTCTCGGGAAATCAGCTATTTAAGATTGTCCACATTGCTGCGACATACTTATCTGATCAACTGGGATTTGCCACTTACATGGTATCTCTGCAAAGTCTCTTGTGCTGATTCTGGAAGTCCTTGATCACAAATGCCTGATAAACCCCTTACAGCTCTCATCGTGGGAGCTGGCATTGCCGGCCCAGCGCTTGCATTCTGGCTGCATCGCCTCGGCCACGCTTGCACCATCCACGAGCGATGGGACACCCTCCGCGTCGGCGGCCAACAGATTGACATTCGTCGACAAGGCATCGACGTCATCAAGCACATGGGGATCTTCGACGACGTCCGCAAACAAGTAGTCGACGAGGGCGGAGTCAAGATTGTCAACGACATGGGCAAGCCGGTCATCTTCTTTCCCCGAAACGAACCCGGCAGCAAGTTACAAGGGCTCACGAGTGAATATGAAATCATGCGCGGCGACCTATGTAGAATTCTGTACCAAAAGACCAAAGACAGCGCCACATATCGATTTGGTCTGTCGGTAGACGAGTTCCACGACACGGGAGACGTGGTCAAGGTCAAGCTGTCGAACGGCAGTGAAGACATGTTGGTCGGCGCAGACGGCCAAGGATCGCGCGTCAGACGAGCCCTGCACAAGGATCAGGGTGGCGGTGACCAGTTCCTGCGACACCTGGGCTGCTTCACATGCTACTATGCCGTGCCGCGAAGACCAAGATGAGAGTGTGGCAACGGGCTACTTGGACCCCGAGCAGCGACTGGCCTTCACGAGGTGGCACGAGCCAGACGTAGGCCAGGTGTACCTCATGACAATGTCGCACGTGTCCGACATTCAGGAAGCCCTCAAGAAGGACGTGTCCGCCCAGAAGAAGGTCTTTGCCGACGCGTTCAAGGACCTCGCATGGGACCAAGTGCCTCGTCTGCTTGACGCCATGGATACCACGCCCGACAACCTTATGCCCACGAACTCATTCAAGTATGTCCCAAGACATATTCCAAGGGCCGGGTCGTGCTCCTCGGCGACGCAGGCTTCTGCCCCTCTGCGCTGACGGGAATGGGCACCTCCTTGGCCTTGGTGGGCGCGTATATACTGGCCGGGGAGATTGGTCGGAACGGGAGGCATGTGAAGGCTGCGTTTGCGGCGTATGATGCTGTTCTGAGGCCGGGGATTGACAAGGTGCAGGCTTTGAACGTGCAGGCCATCAAGTGGCTCTATCCGAAATCCAAGGCGGCGGTGCGCGTGATTCGTTTGGTTCTCGGACTGATGTATAGGTTCAATGTGCACACGTTTTTCCAGAACCGCGTGATGGACCACCGTGAGCAGGATGGGTGGGAGATGCCCAGGTATGAAGAGCTGCATAGGCTTGAGGGAAGCAGGTAATAGAGTAATGTGAAATAATAAAAATATTATAACTCTATTTTTTCCTGTTATAGTAAGGCTAGATTATAATATTTATTTTTTCAGCTAATATATTTAATATATTATAATACGTTTATTATATATTATATAATATTTTTTTATACCGTGTATTAAAATATAATATTATTGTCTTATATCTAGCTTTTTTTTCATTAACTTAATAATAAAATAAAATACTTTTAATAATAAAGAATAATATTCTTTTATTATTTTATATTAAAGGTGTTTTAAATTTGCCTTAGCTCCCCCTAAATGTAAATATAAACATCGAAATAAGCCGCCGTTCTAGACCTCTATGGCGTTATCTCAAGTTTGTGCTAGGAAGAGACGCTGTTTGTTGTCGTCGCCTGTGCCCGTTTGGCGGTGTCTGTGGGTTATGGTGAACTCACTTTCGGCTCACTTTGATGTCACTTGGTTGGCTTGCGGCCGTTGCAGCCGGCATCTTTGCCTTGCTGTGAAAAGGATGGGAAGAGCTTTGAATGTCATGTTACCCCACAATCACCGTAGCTGCCAGGCTACTAGACCAAGTGAAGGAGGAAATTACAACTCGACTCTCGAGCATGCACCCATACCCATGTGTTCGTTTTTTCCCACAACACTAGTCATCCTGCCTTTCCTTTTTTTTTTTTTTTTTTTTTTTTTCAAAAATAGTAAAGCAAGTCTCCCTGTCGATGCTCTGGAAGGTCTCCGATGTTTTGGAGGCAAGTAATTCCTTCTTGCTTTGTTTACTCACTCAAGGCCTAACGTGGAAGTGCAGACTACGCGTTGTGAATAATTAAGCCAATCGATAGATATCAGATAAAGTTCATCATAGCGAACACCATCTTCGTCACAGTTGCAGGATAGGCGTAGACTTGAAGATGGATGGAAGTTCGGGTATTGCTACCGACAAACGAATTGTGTGTATTTGACCATAGGACGTCCGTCCACGTCACATTTGTTAACTGGATTCCAGGTCTTTTTACGTCTGCCGACCGAGGTCCAGATTCAAATCTTATCCGAGTTGTGCTTTCATTGCACCCAAGAACCGAAATGCCCGGAAACCACGCTGGCCCTGTATAACTGTTCTCTCGTGTGCAAGTCTTTGCGGGCAATTGCTGTACCACTTATGTGGCATCAGCCATCTCTCGAAGGCCGGTTGGAATTCCTCATCAGATTATTTTTCAAGAACCCAGAACTGGCAAAACATGTAAAGGCGATTTATTACGACTTAGAAAGGATTCCGATAACGCCGGATTCATCCCTAATGCAAACCGCTAACCGCCTACTTATGTTCGTATCTCTTCGTCAGGGGACACCCTTCCTGGTTCCATATGATCCCAGCAGTGGAACCAACTTCGACCTGCACATACAAGTATTTCTTTTATTGGTGGTTAAAATAAGTAAATTATGGCTTAGAGGGGTCTGGCTACGTACCCTCTTTGGATATCTCGCCAATAGAAGACATTGTCGTCAAGACATTGACGACCACATCTTCCCCGAGTACGCTCAGTGCTTATACAGGGCGATCCTTCGGCTTGCTGCACTTTACCGAAAGATTTCTGCCCCAAGATAGAAGAATTGACTGTCGTTTTCTTCTTGAGATGGCACCGAAACTGCATACCCTCGAGCTGTACGGCATGGGTCGGCACGAACAGCCCATTACGAATATAGATGCGGTAAAGTTGCTACGGCAGCCGTTGCCCACGCGCCTCCGAAACATCCGCTTTTTAAACTCGGTTTTCTTTGACGAGGAGGATCGGCAGCTCTTTTTGAAGCCACTTATTGAGCATTGTGCTGGGTTGGAAAGATTCACGATGCAGCTACGGGCATGTCGATGCTTCCCGGAAATCAAGAGGCTCGTGTCACCTGGCGATCTGGTGAATATGCTAGAGACGCAAAAGAAATCTTTGAAATACCTCAACATTAACTACCTGGATCCACATGACTTCATCTACCATCCTGATGATGATTCTGACTATTATTTTGATGATGACTCTGACGACGATTCTGATGATGAATATGATGATGGCATCCCCGCGGCACAGATGACCACAAACGCTTGGTACGCGCCCCCTAATCTGGCGACTTTTCCTGTTCTAGAGGAGCTACATATTGATGAGCAGTCATTTTGCCACCACTGGCGAACTCAGTCACATGTTGGAGCCGAAAATGACCCCCATACCTGTCTCACAGACATTGTTCCTCAATCCATTCAAAGGTTGTTGGTGTTGGTGAGACCTACAAGTCGAACCTGGGGGGATATTTGTCATTTTTCCAATGAGGCTGCTAGAGGTCGCTACCCAAATCTCAACGAATGAGTCTTGTTTTTCATGTTTCCGATTACCAGATTCCAGATTTTCTCCAGGCGCCAGACAAATTTCCACAAGAAACGATATTTATAAAAAAGGCAAGGGCAGTCAAGCAGTTGTTGGAGGCTTCCAAGGTGGTATTACGCGCGGGTGTTTTGGCCGGCGATCCAAGAGACAGTGTGACCCAAGTGTTCCAGTCTCTAAGTGACGATCTGGAAGAAGTACTTGGCACAGAGACACTTGAACCTCCCTTTAATTTTCAGAAAGATGATGAATGGCGGGAACGCTGCAATTACTGTTAGAAAATGTTGAAGCAAATTAGGTAGCAGAATATGAGGCTTTGTATGATGTTGATGATTTTTGTAGGTTGATGATGATGATGAAGAAGGTGGCCCTCGAAGGCCCTGCGAATTTGACCCCTTCTTATTGTACGTTGACCTTTTTGAAGCCCCTGAGAACTCCTGAAAACCCCTGCTAGGGCTCTCATCACCCCGAGCCCTTGAAAAAGCCAAGACCATGACCAAAAGGGCCCGAAAAGGCCCCATTTATTCCAACAACTGCACTTGAACCTCCTTTCAATTATCAGGAAGAGGATAAAGCAGACCAAGTACCCAGCTTTGACGTTATATACTATAATATATTTTGGCATATTAGTATATACTTCTTCGCGGGAGATATATTCTGCCACTAACTGTTGATATTATAGAGTACAATAACTATCTGAGAGAAAGTCTCCGTGTCTAAAAAGTATACTTTGCTCGTGGGTTTCATGACATACCTAGGTATCGTTTTGTGTGGAACAGAGCAATCTCCTGGGCTTTAAGGAACTAGTCCACTCTGTCCTTGGCCTTGTAAACTGCCCGCTCCATCCATTGTATCCGTTTTCTGGACTGATACCTACCTGGATCAGAAATGTGAAATTTGTTAAATTACTCTACACGAGCGCTGCCAACGCGCGAGGGTCCCTACGGCAGCATCTATGCCTCTGAATAGTTGGATTTCTGTAAGATGATTTATACCTGGGGATTTTTTGAGTGGCATGTGGTCTTCATTTACGGCTGGCATTTTCTACGCGAACTATCCGTACATCGGTGAAGGGAAGGTCAAGTCTGGTGTTGGAAAATTCCAGGTATGCTACAGAGTAAAAAGTGTAAGCGCCTACGTGTTATTCAGCATAGCTGCTAAAACATTACGTGCCTCTTTCAACACCAAGAGCGTCTTCAAGGAGAGTCCATTTTGAAAACTGCTTCCCTTTTGATCTAATTGAGTCTCTGAAGCCAAAAATGCGTTGTTGCTTTATTCGTGATCGTGTTTACGGCTGTAAATAGTTTCCCCTAGAACGCCCCCATCCTAGGGACACCTTGATTGAGAAGCCATTTGTTGTCTGTTGCAAGGTTACACGAGGACGAGATCTGGGGCATAAGGCTCGCACCGACTTCTTGTATAAATAAAGCTCTTCAGTCCATCCAGGCCTTGAAGAGATCCAAGGATCTTTAATACCAAAGATTGTTATTATGGATGAATTGGGTCACTACTCCACCCCTCGCTGAGCCCTTGTCACATTATCGCACCAAGTTCATGTTGAACGTACATCCCAGCGTACTCTGTATGCAGCCATCATGAATCTCCGAAAGTGCATACAAGCTTACACATGCATACCTGGGGCTTATTTTCGGTAAAAGTATTCGCCAAAGGTGTTGATGTAGTCATTTCGGTTGGGCGTTGAGACGGATGCCCAAGTGCCCATACCTATGTCCAGGACAAATAGCTCACCAATACGAGTATTAGTACTTCACACCCTGTCCTTGGTTTCCCGACATCTGTCACTTTGATTACAGGGGTTCTACATGCGGTGACGGGATTGACTTCACCCTTGGATTATGTCGTGCTACGGCAATGGTGTAACGGGTCAAGCCGCCCATCACCAATTCACGATGGCAAGTTGATACTAGAATCTTCTGGGGAGTATTTGAAGGATAAAAGGCATTGTTATCATGTCACGGCGCATACAGACTTTTCTTTCTTCTTTTAGACGCTAGTGAGTTGAATCAACCCGCTAGACGCCTTTCACAAATGGCACAAGTGTGGCACAAGTGTAGTAGGCAGCCTGTGTTGTCAGAGAATCCCGCATATGTATCAGCGTCCCAAGTTGCTAAATACCGCAATATTCCCTTCCAAAAATAACGTCGTCTTGCAGCTGTAGAGTATGAGTGCTCGTTTAGGCTCTTGTACATCAGCCACACATCAGTGCAGGTGCCCTCGAGTAGGAGTTGGGCAGCAATCGTCGTTTTGGTGTCGAGCCAAAAGTCTATTTTTTGGAGGATGATCTTAGACTCGGGCCGTTCCTTTCATACCCCGCATTGTTTTTTGTGTGTGTGTGTGTCACGTAAGATATCCGGTCGTCTAGGTCCCATGTAGTACACGCCCCCAACAGTCGATGGACAACGAAAGGGTGTCGGGGTCGGGCACAGGGAATCTCGTTCTAGTCCCTGTTGCTCAACATGATATTGACAGAGTCGCGTTCGGGGTTTAGCCTGCGGCTTCCATGACCGGCTGTCGCAATGAGGTCCCACGGATAATTACACAGCTTGTGTGACAGTAGGCCAACTTAGCGGCATCCTTTGCTTGCTCAAGATTATGTTCAGTTATTTCGCAGTCATGTTCACCACTCAACACCCAGCACAACTTGTATCGTGTGGTCTGTGTGGTGTTCTGTACACGAAGTGATGGCTCATGCGCTTCCTCAACTGGACAACTCCGAATATACTGTGGGATGGATTACGGCACTGCCGCATGAAACGGCTGCTGCTGTGGCAATGCTCGACAAGAAGCATGCCTCACCACAGCACAGGCGCGAAAAAGACCATAATAAATACGCCTTTGGGTCTGTTAACTGCGAAAGTGGCGAACATTATGTGGTTATTGCCAACCTGCCATCGGGCAATTATGGGAACATTCCTGCCTCGACAACGGCGGCTCACATGCTCTCCAGCTTTCCAGCCATCAAATTCGGACTCATGGTTGGTATTGGTGGTGGCATCTGGAGCCAAAGACATGACATTCGGTTGGGCGATGTTGTAGTTAGTGAACCGAAAGGCAGCTTTGGAGGTGTGAGACTATATGACTTTGGAAAAGCAACTGTTGATGGTTTTCAATGTTGTGGCTCGCTCAACGAGCCGCCTCGAGTTCTGCTCAATGCAATAGGCGCGCTCCAAAGCAAACACGAAATGGAAAGGAGCATGACGCCCGACATACTGCGAATCACGCACATCAAGTACCCTGATATGAAAGAGCCGCGAACAGGGCCAGGCTACGTCCATCAAGGCCCCGGCAACGACCGGCTATTTCGCTCCGACTACCGTCACCAAAGCAACGAGAAAAGCTGCCATGCTTGTGACGAGGCGGGGGAAATAGTACGCGGAGAGCGTCCAGACTGTGATCCATTTATTCACCACGGCACCATCGCCTCAGGAAACAAGGTCATCAAGGACGCACAAACTCAAGATCTTCTGGCACGGGATTGTCTCTGTTTCGAAACGGAAGCTGCTGGATTGATGAACGACTTCCCTTGTCTCGTTATCCGTGGCATATGTGACTATTGCGACTCGCATAAGAACGATCAGTGGCAGAGGTATGCGGCAGCTACGGCCGCCGCATATGCCAAGGAGCTTCTCCGCGTCATAGACCCAGCAGATGTGAATAAAACACCAAGAGCAATAGACGGTATGCGCCATGTCTGCACAAAGCTGACCCAGATTCATTTTGTACACGAGTTGAATGAAGGGCACTTTTTGTAACATTCTAACATGCATGACACAATGTAGTCAAAAGTATCCATGACCAAGTGACGCGCGTACAAAAGCAGGTAGCAGAAGGGTTCCAATCTTTCCGACAAGGTATGACCTATTTCACATGACAATCTGATGATAAAATAGCAACATATCCTGATCTTGCGCAGGACATGACAAACAGGACCGCCTTGAAATTCTCAAATGGATCACCCACATTGACTACGGACCCCAATGTAGCGACATTCTCAAGAAAAGATGTGAGGGTACAGGACAATGGCTACTAGACTCTACCGGGTTTCAGAATTGGCTGAAAAGTAAAGGACGGATGCTATTCTGTCCCGGAATTCCCGGGGCAGGCAAGACTGTCCTCTCTGCTCTTGTGGTTGATCATCTATGCAGGAAGTTTGGAAAGGATTCAAGCATCGGCATCGCGTGCTTGTTCTGCGAATATCATCGGCATAGCGAACAAACGTTAGAGAACCTCCTTTTGAGTCTTTTAAAGCAGCTAAGTCAGCAACAAACTACTTTACCTGACTGTGTTACGGAGCTCTACGACTGGCATCAAAAGCGGACAACGAGGCCCTCGATCGATGAGATTACAAATGTACTACAGTCTGTCACTGCCATTCTTTCAAGAGTTTTTGTTATTGTTGATGTTCTCGACGAATGCCAAACTGCAAACGGATGCTAAATGGATTTTATATTAAAATTATTCACTTTCTAGGACGGTGTCAAGGCGAACATACTTGCAACGTCTCGCTATATTAACAGCATATAAAGAAGGTTTCGTGGATGCATCTCGCTAGACATAAGAGCAACTGTCGGGGATGTACAATTGTATTTGAGAGGGCAGAGGAGACGATTCGTGCAGGATATGGTGAATGACGAACTCCAAGCTCGGATTGAATCAAAAGTGATCAAAGCCTCCGCAAACATGTACGTTACCTTGTGCGACTCAGCCTGATTAACTTATAACCTGCTAAGCGGCCTACAGGTTCCTGCTAGCGGCCTTGCACATGGATAGGCTGGTGGAATTGAGAACAAGGCAGGACATGATGGACTTTTTAGAAAGTATTCTAGGGAGCGACCTCAGCGCTGCTTACAAAAAGACGATGGAGAAGATTGAAAATCAGGACCAGAACAGCGTGAGCCTTGCAAAACGGACCTTGGCCTGGGCTATTCACGCCGAAAGGCCATTCTCGGTCGAGGAGCTTCGACATGTGCTAGCAGTGAGGGCGGGCAGCAAACAGTTCAATCCGGGGTATATGCCATATGCCAGAGAAATCTTGTCGGTTTGCGCCGGCTTAGTAACAATTGGTAACCGAAGGGGCATCATTCGTTTAGCTCATTACACAACGCTCGAGTTTTTACGGCAGACAAAGCCAGATTGGCTGCAAGATATGCAGGCTGATCTTGCGGAAACCTGTCTAACCTATTTGTTATATGACTGCTTCCAAGTCGGCTCCCGCAAGACAGATCAAGCTTTCGAGGCCAAGTTCGAATTCTATAGATATGCCGCAGAAAACTGGGCTCATCATGCTGGAATTGACAGGTCCTCGAACGCATGTTTGGCGAGGAAAGAAAAGATTCAACCCCTCCTCGATGTATTCCTGGCAACTGATCCCTTGGCGCCCAGTTTTCGCTATTGGCTGTTCCGACTTAAAAAAGGCATTATACAAAGCATCGACAGATCACCATCATCTTCTAAATGGGCAATCGAGAAACTGATCTTCTCTCCACTTAGTTGGCTAAGCAAAGCGACCTGCAAAGCATATCATTGGAGTGAGAGTGTTATCTACCCTCCTGAGGAGAGCCCATTCGCGTTTTTGGAGGCTTTCATTACAGCATCGCTTGAAAGGGCCAGGTTAGTGTTAGCGCCTTGCCCACATCCCGAACATTGGCACAGCCTCTCCGACTCAACATGGGAAGACCTACCCCTCGGCTGCAGGAAAAGCTGTACCCCTGAGGCTGTCAAGAAGTTGAAGGTTTCGAAGAATAAGCTTTCCAGCCTACTTTTTCAAGCCAGTTATTGTCACCCAAGCTTGATGCGACATCGAGCCAATACCCAGGACTTTGCCAACCTTTTGCTGTTTTTCGAGTATCATGACGCGCCCCGAAGATGTTCCGAAGAGGTTGCGAATCTGATAGTAATTCTTCTGCTGAAAAGCAAAGCTCAGCGTCAGTCTGACACTGGAACTAAAGGGTGGACAGAAGAAGAAGGAGAATTATTCCGGCGCTTGCTGGTGAAACCGGTACATAAATGCCAAGAGTACCAGTATATCCCGGTGCATTCTCTAGACCCGGACGGCGACCTGCTCTTTTATGTCATACATCTTGGGTGCAGTGCTCTTGATTTCCTGGTTCGCAGCGGTCTGGACGTAAAGGCAATTTCTTGCCGGCATCGATTTCGGACACCATTGATAGCTGCAGTTGTTCAAGATCTGGAGAGTAAGACACCATGTGTAGAATACCTCCTGAACCATGGTGCGGATGTCCATCAGCTAGCGGTTGGGTGCGAATACGGCTCTGCTCTAGTTGCAGCAGGTGCAAACGGTAGGATGGATGCTTTACAACTTCTATTACAGCAGCCCACTATGGAAGTCAATATAGCGACACCGTTCGGCTGGTATGGAACCGCCCTCATTGCAGCATGTGCAAATACTAGAAACTCTCTAAAGTATATTGAGAGTATGGCAACGATTGTCAAATACCTCCTTGAAAAGGGTGCACATGTCAATCATATAGCAACTGGAATGGCTGGTGCCAAGTACCTCACAGCCCTTGCCGCTGCTGTAGATAGTGGCATCCCACCGGGTAGTAGGGATCCTTCTAAAATCTGGCGCGATAGCCGACGAGAGGGTCAAAGCTAGTATGCCCAGTGACTCGCGCGCGGCAAGCCGTCGATGGCATTGTCTCGCGTCCCAGGTGTCCCGCCCATACGAGGAACCGCTACAGACGGACAATCAATGGATTGATCAATGCAATTTAGCAGCGCGGCAGCTAAGTGTGGCAATTGTTTACTCTCTGCTGGAAGTGGACGCATCATGAACAGATGAATATATGCCCCAAGCTCTCTACCATCTCCAAGCTTTCAGTAGCCGACGGATGGACGATTTCGGAGCGGCCGAAATAACACTGCAACAATTCGGGTTTGACGGCAAAGACCATAACAGAGGAATGCTACTCAGTCTTCGAGCTGAACTACGGGAGAGCGATCGAGGATGGAATAGTGTCGTAGCCTATTTGAAAGAGCTGATTTTGGAGTTTGAGGAAGGAAGAATACCAACCCCACGACAGACCCGGTCCGATGACTTTGGCCCTAATGTCGGCATGACACCGTATTCGAATAGCGCAGACGAGGAGATGGCAGTTGATCAAGGTCTATAGATGTCATTATGTCGTACGAGATAACGATGATTAAAGGCAGCATAAACAACTTCTTCGAATGTGTGCAAAGTTGACTTGGAGTGATCACGACTCACGACAATTGGTCGGCTTAGTCATTGTTGTCGCTTATCGTGGCGTGGGTTAGGGGTAAGGTGTCGCCCCAACAGAAAGCACGAGCTTCAAGGCAGGTTCTAACAGCGAGCGTTGCTCCTTCCTCGCCGCAATTCGACGGGTCTCCGAGAATAGCGCCGGTAGGGCCACTCGCCCAGCCAGCCAGCAGCCAATGTGGAACGCGCGAGCCAGGGGAGCTCCACGTTGGCAGGCGGACGGCAACGGCCCCAATGAAAAAAATGCAGAAGCTTGCTAGCTGTCCGCCGCGTCCTGCGAAGTCGCTCCAACCAGGAAGCTCGTTTCGCCGTGCTCCGGAAAGGAAATTCCCTCGAGGCCAACTGTTGAAGCCATCGTCATCTACATCCTCCACCACCTCTAGTCTTTCTGTTGAACCAGCCCAGTGCTGCTCTTGTTTGTTTCTTGCTCTTGTCTGCTTCTGCTCGTCCAATTCCAATTGTGACGACCAGTATTGGTGGCTCAGAGTCAAAGCAGCTCTTGTGTGTCGCATTTGGATCTATCTCCTGCAACCTCGACCCTCAACAAATCTCCACATACAACGCAGACACCATGTCCCGTATTCTCCGACCGGCTGCCCGCCTGGCGCTCTCATCACGAGCTGCTGCCATCAAGACTCCCGCCGCTTCCACCTTCACCCAGGCACCCCGAGCTGTAACCACTCCTGTCTTCTTCGGCGCTCAGCAGAGCAGAAAATATGCTGAGGGAGCCGGCGTCAAGGAGTATACTGTCCGCGAGGCTCTGAACGAGGCCCTCGCCGAGGAGCTGGAGTCCAACCCCAAGGTTCTCATCCTGGGTGAGGAAGTTGCGCAGTACAATGGTGCCTACAAGGTCACCAAGGGCCTTTTGGACCGTTTCGGCGACAAACGTGTCATCGATACCCCCATCACCGAGTCCGGTTTCTGCGGACTTGCCATTGGTGCCGCTCTAAGCGGTCTGCACCCTGTTGTAAGTAACCTGCTGCTATTCCTCATTGGCCTTTGAACCAGTTTGCTATGCGCAGTTCCAACGCGGATCGATTTCACCCTATGGTACATTCGCGTTGCTAGTGTGGCTACTTGAGCTAATTCCGAATCGTGACAGTGCGAGTTCATGACCTTCAACTTCGCCATGCAGGCCATCGATCAGATTGTTAACTCTGCCGGAAAGACCCTTTACATGTCCGGCGGCATCCAGCCATGCAACATCACCTTCCGTGGTCCCAATGGCTTTGCCGCTGGTGTTGCCGCTCAGCACTCCCAAGACTACTCCGCTTGGTACGGCAGCGTCCCTGGCCTCAAGGTTGTCTCCCCCTGGAGCGCCGAAGATGCCAAGGGTCTTCTCAAGGCTGCTATCCGCGATCCCAACCCCGTCGTCGTCCTCGAAAACGAACTCATGTACGGCCAGTCCTTCCCCATGTCCGAGGCCGCCCAGAAAGATGATTTCGTGCTGCCCTTCGGCAAGGCCAAGGTAGAGCGTGCCGGAAAAGATCTCACCATCGTCTCTCTCTCCCGATGTGTCGGTCAGTCTCTGGTCGCCGCCGAGAACCTGAAGAAGAACTATGGCATCGAGGCGGAGGTTATCAACCTGCGCTCTGTTAAACCTCTCGACATTGAAACCATTGTCAAGTCCGTCAAAAAGACCCACCGCCTTCTTTCCGTTGAGTCTGGCTTCCCCCACTACGGTGTTGGCGCCGAGATCCTCGCTCTGACCATGGAGTACGCTTTCGACTACCTCGATGCTCCTGCTCAGCGAGTCACTGGCGCCGACGTGCCCACTCCTTACGCCCAGAAGCTCGAGGAAATGAGTTTCCCTACTGAGAAGGTCATCGAGGATTACGCCGCCAAGCTGTTGCGAGTCTAAGTAGCTGGCTAACACAACTTGGGAAGTGCATAAAGGTTGAGAAAACAGACCCGCGAGGGGCCAAGGAGCTTTTGGAGCAGTAGTGGCGTGAGGTTGAGCTGCAGCTTTGGAGCGGAACAGCAGCACTATCATAATTACATGCTGCAGAAGAGCGCAGGCAGGAATTATAGCGCGCTTTAAAAATCTCTTTATTCATAGACGGAGTCGGGGAAGGGGACCTGTACTTGTAATCTGTTTCGTCATGTATACACCCTTTGCCTTGCAATCGTCTTTGCTGATCGCTGGTGAAATCGAACTGCAAATACTCGGACTAATCTACCCGCTGACTTTCGAAATTGATTTGCACACTATGAGCCTGTAGACAACTTTATAAAGCTGAATTGTTGCTGTGAACTCGCCTCGTGTTCCATTTGTGTTGATCCTTGATTCACCCCCTGCCACTGCAGGAAGGAGCTTTGGCTACTTTTAGGTGAACGGAAAAGTCGATGCGATATCAGCCCCACTTCACCTATTGATGTGGGGCATGCCCAACTGGCAATGAGATCGAGTGTAGCCATCATCTTCACGAGCCGCCTGCAAACCTCACCATAACGATAGTCAGCATGGCCGGAATCGATGCCCTCCTGCTCGCGCAGGACGAAGATGGGTTGTCGACGTCCCTGTCTGGTAACTCACAAAGGCTGGATTCCGAGGCCCTCAAGCGTCACCTGGAAGACAAATTTCTGACACCTTCACGTGAGTTCTCGAGCGAATGGCTAAACCTTTTGCAGCAACGATGGGAATTCGAAACGGAGTATACCTCCCTATTTAAACTGGCACCCACGCAGACTCGTACTGTGACGAGGTTTCAACGCCATGGGCTTGAAGGTCGAGTCACTGGCTACAAGAACGTAACATTACCCTCAAATAGTGCCACGGCCAAGAACTCAACTAGCTTGCTTCGAAAACCGGCCAACCGAGCCGACTTTGTTCGTGGAGCTGCCGGGTTCTTTCCTTTTGCTCCTGGCGGGCTTGATGGTATTGAAGCTACAGCCGCGCTCGAGGACCAGGTTCACACAGGAGGGGTTGAAGAATGCTCGAGAGCCAACAAGCTTGACAGAGTTATCCAACTAGGCGAAGGGGGACTACTACAGATAGCCCCAGGTCTGGATACAGGTATCGATTTCAGCATGAAGAAAAATGCTGCCGATGAAGAGGCGGCGAACGCTGTTCAGGAAGCTTTGGAAGAGGAGCCCGAAAACGCTGGGTCAGTGGAGGAGACAGAAGGGGAGATCCCGGATGACACGCCAGCAGATGCATCCGATACAGGGGAAGATGAAGACGATATCGATGATATCCTCCCTATCGAATTCCCGGCTCTGGAACCCCATGGTGTGTTGGCAGCATCAAGTGCCCGTAAGGCTGGCCGTGAATGGGCACACATGGTAGATATCCGACAAGGAATGCCCAACTTTCGAGAATTGGTACCTGACATGGCTAGAGAGTGGCCATTCGAGCTGGATACTTTTCAGAAGGAGGCTGTTTACCATCTTGAGAACGGCGATTCTGTCTTCGTTGCTGCCCATACATCAGCAGGCAAAACAGTTGTCGCTGAGTATGCCATTGCGTTGGCTGCAAAGCACATGACGAAAGCCATCTACACATCACCAATCAAGGCATTGAGTAACCAGAAGTTTCGAGATTTTCGACAGACGTTTGATGAGGTCGGGATTCTCACCGGCGACGTGCAGATTAATCCCGAGGCTAGCTGCCTGATTATGACGACGGAGATTCTACGAAGCATGCTTTACCGCGGAGCCGACTTGATTCGTGACGTCGAATTTGTAATTTTCGACGAAGTTCACTACGTGAATGATTTTGAGCGGGGAGTGGTCTGGGAAGAAGTCATTATTATGCTGCCAGAGCATGTTACACTTATTCTGTTGTCGGCCACCGTTCCGAATACGTATGAATTTGCGTCATGGGTTGGCCGCACGAAACAAAAAGATATCTATGTCATTTCGACCTCCAAGCGCCCTGTTCCTCTCGAGCACTATATCTGGGCCGGCAAGGACGTCCACAAAATCGTCGACTCAGACAAGAAGTTTATTGAAAAGGGATGGAAAGATGCACACGGAGCCGTACAGGGCAAGGAGACGCAAAGACCCGCAGAGACTACGATGGCCATGAGAGGAGGCAATCCTCGAGGCGGACAACGTGGTGGCCAACAGCGTGGAGGACCCCAACAACGCGGTGGACGAGGAGGTGGCCAACAACGAGGTGGAAATCAGCAAAGAGGCCGCGGAGGGCCACCTCGCGCCAGTCATGCCCCCGGCCACATGGGTCGCGGAGGTCGTGCTGGTGGCATGACTTCTGCTGCGCAAGACAAAAATCTTTGGGTACACCTCGTTCAGTTCTTGCGAAAAAAGTCTCTCCTGCCAGCTTGTATCTTTGTCTTTTCCAAGAAGAGATGTGAGCAAAATGCGGATGCTTTGAGCAATCAAGATTTCTGCACGGCCCAGGAGAAGAGCCATATTCACATGATTATCGAAAAGTCTATTGCACGATTAAAGCCCGAAGACAGACAGTTACCCCAAATTGTCAGGCTGAGAGAACTGCTCAGCAGGGGTATAGCAGTTCATCACGGCGGATTGCTACCAATCGTCAAGGAATTGGTGGAAATACTGTTCGCCCAGACCCTCGTGAAGGTGCTCTTTGCTACCGAGACATTTGCCATGGGTCTGAACTTGCCAACTCGAACTGTTGTCTTCTCAGGCTACAGAAAGCATGATGGACACTCATTCCGCAATCTGCTCCCCGGTGAGTATACTCAAATGGCTGGCCGAGCCGGTCGCCGTGGTCTGGACACTGTTGGATCAGTCATCATTGTTCCACCGGGGGGTGCCGACGACGTGCCGCCTGCCGCTGAGCTCCGCAACATGATACTGGGTGAGCCGTCTAAGTTACGGTCTCAGTTCCGTCTCACCTACAACATGATCCTCAACTTGCTCCGGGTCGAAGCGTTGAAGATTGAGGAGATGATTAAGCGCAGCTTCTCGGAGCACGCCACGCAGGCATTGCTCCCTGAGCACGAAAAGGATGTCAAGCTCGCACAAGCTGATCTGGCCAAGGTCAAGAGAGAATCGTGCAAGATTTGTGACACCGCTATGGACGAATGTCACCAGGCTGCCCAAGACTTTAAGCAGCTTACCCTTGAACTGTACAAAGGTCTCCTCCGAATCACATTTGGGCGTAGAATGTTTAGTCAACAGCGCCTCATCGTGTTTAACTGGGAGGGTGTTCGGACGGTTGGCATTTTGCTGTCAGAAGGCATGAGCCCGAAGGGTACCCTGGAGGACCCTATTCTTCATGTCTGCGCTATTAAACCACTGAGGGAAAGACGAGATGCGACAGACCAATTACCTTTCATCCCTGCTTTCCGCAGGTACTTGCACAAACTGCCTCAGGGCAAGAGGCGCTTGCAGATTAAGACTCTCCACGTGCCGCTGAGCGATGTGGAGTGCTTGACCAAATGGGTTCTCAAGGGCGCAGTCCCAGAGATCTTCAAGGGTGGTGAAGCTGGTCAACAAGCCATGGAGAAACTACAGGATCTTTGTTCCGGCTGGGACAGCCGATGGGATGAAGTGGATATGGGCAAGATCAAAAGCATGCAGTTGCAGGAGATTGTTGAGAAGAGAGTGCAGTTGGTCAAGGCGATTTCCATGTCTCCGGTCATTAAATGCCCAGCGTTCTTGAAACACGTAAGCATATTTCATTTGATCGAACAGCAAAAGACCCTCTTACTAACGATTTCCAGTTCGCCATGTGCCACGACGAATGGCTCATCAAAGAGCATATCTCCCAGCTCAAGCAGTCCCTCTCTGACCAAAATCTCCAACTCCTACCCGACTACGAGCAACGTGTCCAAGTTCTCAAAGAACTCGATTTCATCGATGATGCCACGCGAATCCAGCTTAAAGGCAAAGTAGCATGCGAAGTCCACTCGGGCGACGAACTCGTCCTCACCGAACTCATCCTCGACAACGTCCTCGCCGATTTCGAGCCCGCTGAAATCGCCGCCCTCCTATCCTCCTTTGTGTTCCAGGAGAAGACTACAGTCGAACCCACGTTGACAGGAAACTTGGAGCGCGGACGGGACACCATTATTGCTATTTCCGAAAAGGTCAACGACGTACAGACCAGGTTGCAGGTGATTCAGTCAGCGGACGACTCGAATGACTTTGTGTCACGACCCAGATTCGGCCTCATGGAGGTGGTGTACGAGTGGGCAAGGGGGATGAGTTTCAAGAACATTACGGGCCTGACGGACATACTTGAGGGTACTATAGTGCGCACGATTACGAGATTAGATGAGACGTGTAGGGAGGTGAAGAATGCGGCGAGGATAGTAGGTGACCCCGAGTTGTATCAAAAGATGCAAGAGGCGCAGGAGCTCATCAAGAGGGATATTACCGCCGTGGCGAGCTTGTACATGTAGTTTGGACCGGATATCAAAGACAGGCGTATGGCCTGCCACGGTCTCGATATTTTATGGGATTAGCAGGGAATCCCGGCCCAGCATGTTGCGCAATGGAAATAAGGAAATAGGCATGGCAAAGCACGCTATACACAACAATGGAGTTGTAGAAGGTGAAATTCACTTCCATTCTAATGTAAATACAGCCTCCCAAACGCCTAGCAATGACTTTATCCCCCGAAAGAAGGTGATGCGATGGAAAAATACATCAATAAAATACCACGTCCCTTCCCAAAGCACCCAAGAACACCCGCCGTGTTGATACCTCTGTATGAAGAGAAAAAAGAAAGCAAGAACCCTTGGCATTAAGCCCGCAAAGCCCTCAGTCTCTGCTGCAGCTTATCCTCGTCCTCGGGCGTGACCTCGGTCGCCGGCTCAGCCTCGGCGGGCGTCGCCTCATTCAACTGTTGGTTGAGCTCGATGCCCGCATCGTCAGCCAGCTTGCCGAGGAGTTCGTGGACCGCATCCTCGGGCACCTGCGCCGAGGTGGACTGCGCAAAAGCGTCCTGGTAGATGCTGTTTGTCATGGCATATTCTTCGTTTTGCTCCTTGAAGTTTTCGAGAACGCCGAGGCTCTTTTACACATTCGTTAGCGCTTTTCGTGCCGTAGGGGTCCCCGAGGGGGGTTTCCAGTACCTTTGCGGGGGTGGCATTCTTCTGCGCAGCAGTCATCACCTTGGACGACTGGGCCATCATGTGCGTCATGCGGTTCATGGCATTGTTGGCCTGGATCTGGGCGGCGCTCAGCTCCGCCATGTCGGCTACCTGGTCCATTTGCGAGGCGAGCGCCTGCTTGCTGAGGAGCATCTTGGCCTTTTGGTACGCCTTTTGGGTCTCGCCCTTTTTGAGGAGCTCCTGGATCTGCTTCTTGAGGATGGGGTCTTGCTTGGCGGCCTTTTGGGCCTCGCGCCGCGCTTGCTTCGCCTGGAAGCGCGCTTGGAACTCGACTTGCATGTCGCGTGCGAGTTGGCGGTTCGACATGGTTGCTGCGGAGGCGGGTTTGTTTCTTCGGGGTTGGGGATGAGGACGGATTTTCAGGCTCGAAGTTGAGAGGACGGGTGGTTTGGTCATGGGTGTTCGAGGCTGCCTGTCGGATTGGCCGTCATGTGAGTGGCATGAGGACTTGGAGAGTGCGGGGCGCCACGAGGTGACGCAACAGTGGGCACCGCCACGGGGGTCAAGCCACGCTTAAGCCTCATTTTTTGTTTGCCCTCGTACGGGGTACGTACCCCGCCCGTACTTCGATTCTGGCAGTTGGCCATCTGCTTGTGTTACCTGACCACCGCGGGGCTTGTGATGAAACATTGGGGCGGTGAGGTTGACAGGAATTTGTAGGGATCGATGCCTCGCATTTTCAACCTTGGATGAAGGTGAATTGTGATGTTCGTCGTGGCAACTCCATCTTGTCTCTGTTGGCTGTGTGACGGACACAGCGCACTCGTGCGAATGATATGGAAATACCACGGACTGATTGTGTCAGATACAATGTTTGCCGGGATTTTGATGAGAATGGTACGGAACCCCTTGCTACACTCTGATGATATTCAATAAACCGGAGCTTAAACTGTTGAATGAATCACCAAGACGCCGCAATCGAGCTACCCGGGAGCTTCCTCGATTAGTCGGTGGATGAAGTTTAGAGGGAGAACTAAGTCTGTGTATAACAACTACCAAGCAAGACTGTAACTCTTTTAAGGGATTCGCACAGTTAAAGAGTTTTGCAGCCATCCGGCCACTGCCATGACAGCTATGATACGTAGATCACAAGGGGTAGTGGAAATCGGAAATTTGTCCGGATCACGTGCATAATCAAAATGATGAACTGGTCTGCACAAAAACCCTGGCCTCGGTGTAAACTCGCATCATAACCGAAAACTTCAAATTATCTTGTAAAATTACTAGTTACGCGGTTCAATATTGAAGTCAAAGCGCACCTGTTGTCGCAAGAGTGTTCATGTGGCGCCACCAGTTTCTCAATGTTAGGGGCGGATTCAAAGCCACTTCAGCCATGGACACCATCCTGCGAACCACTCTGAAATGATCGCCCAGCTATTTTTCGGCCGTACATCAACACCCAGACTGCGCTTTGCACCCCCAGCAATGGCTTCCAAACCCACGATGAACGTTCAGAGCTTCCCACGGCCGCCGCGCCTGGAGAAAATATCTCGACATCTGCTGGTAGTGTACAAGGGGCAAACGATTGCTGAGACCAAAGAGGCGTTTTGGGCTTTGGAGACTCACCATCCGCCAAGTATGTCGCCCTTCTGAGCTCGCCATCGCAACTTGTTTTTCGTTTGATTTTCTCCCACGATCCCTGTATCTGAGTCGAGGATTCTTGGAAGAGCCGTTCGCTCTCACAGGTTTTGGTTTTGAGGGTCTTAGTTTGAGCTCTACTTCTCGCTAGCCATTGACAAACATGGAACAGCCTACTATCTCCCACCGTCATCAGTCAGGATTCCTCTGACCACGACCGCGAAAAAGACATTTTGCGAATGGAAAGGATTTGCAACTTACTACATGGCCCAACTCAGCGATGGTAGAACCGTCTGTAACCGGATATGGTCGTATGACCAGCCTGCGTCGCCATTTGAACCCATCCGGGGATATCTATCCTTTTATGCCGAGCCGTGGGAGTGTTTCGTCGATGGCGAGAAAGTTGAGCCGCAACCTGGAGACTTTTACGGCGGGTGGGTGACTTCCGAAATTGAAGGCATCGTTAAGGGTCGGTCTGGTAATCTGGACCCGATAGTTTGAAGTCGTAACGGCGTCGGTGATTCAGCCAATGACTATAGTACGCAAATTGCAGCCGTGAGAGATGCCATCTGCGGCTTGTGTATTCTAAAGATAGCTGAAAGCACGACTACTAGGTTTGAAGAAATTTCTGCCCGTCCAAACGGAAAATGGGTCACAGAACGATGACTATCACGCCGTGGTGGTCTGCCATTCTGCGCAAACTTCCCCTATCCAAGAGAATGGTAGATCGAATACTGTTTTCTTGAATATTTCCGTCAAGAGTCCGATCGAGGGTTCCCTCCAAGCTGTCGCTTGTGGCAGCTAGTGCAACAGACGCCTTGTCCGCCGCGCCGCAAGGTCTGGTCGGATGAAGCTGGCTAGGAATTTTTTCGACAAGGCTAAACGATGCGTAACTGCAGAGGCTTGGCTGGAGCACAAAGCACCCAACGATGAAGTCTGGCTCCGTATGTACAACTCAGCCCCCTTCCCGCATGGGACTCGGACCCTGTGGCGTACTCTGGGGGAACAGCATTGACTGGGCCAAGAGGGAGTTTGAAGTGGCGAAAAGTGACGATAACCTTTGTAGGGAGGATGCGTTGAGTTGCTCCTTCTGTCTCGGTGAGCCAGCTAGCTGCTCTTGGACTCGCACATGACATGGCCCGACTCACTGTGCTGTGCTGCCCGCCATGTCTAGGAAATAACTTTGCGTTTCTTTTCTCCATGTCTTGAACCGTTATGCGACACAAGCACATCGACCAGTCAATATCTCGGCAGGTCGCAGGCGATCTGACCAAAAGATTGGCTCAGGCTCTTTGGCTGCCCCGTCAACTCGTACGTGGAGGCGCTCCCGCACAGGCTCCCGAGACTCTACCCACTCATGACCTGCTCCAGCAGACATTTATTAATTTCGATTCGCTACGAATTGATAATTTCTCCTCAATCACACGCATGCAGCGGTGTCTGCCCGGCATGGCAGGAAACCCGACATTCGCTACTCATCGGACGGGCCCTGTCAGTGGCATCGAGCTGGTGCGACCGGGCAGCTTCGGCTAGATTCCGCCAGATTCCGTCATCCCCTTCAATCCACAGTTCATACCCGAGAGCTTCGTTTGTGGGGGCCGTCACTGCGGATGTGGATGTAGTCATTTGCCATCTGACGATTCTCTGGGCTCTGGCTTCCTCAGTCAGCCTCAAATTGCTGGACCGTTTTGGCGAATGCCGCTGGCTGATGGCTTTTTTTAAACTGAGTAACACATAAGTTATGGCTCGCCGCTTCATGGCTACCGGTGCCGCCCATCAGGTGACAGTAACACGAATGAAACCCTGTTTGGCCAAAGAGGGAGTGTTACACCTTTGAACGCCGTGTCCATCAGCTGCAGATAAACTCTCGTCTCCCTACGCTTGAACGTAGCACGACCTGCATATTTCCGTTCCCTTTTCAGCATTCTTCTCCTTCCAACATTCCCTGGTCGCTTTTGTCATTGTCTTGTTCTCTTACGCTGAATTCTAGGCGGCCCATTGCCAAGAACGCCATCTTTTCTCGATGATTTAGCATCCATTTTCCGAATATAGACGAATGAAAGGTTCGACTTAGTACGACCTGATCTCGGCGGCGCTAAAAGCGCCTGACTCCCTCTACGAAGCTTATGAAGTACAACTCCAACTGTTGGGATCAGAATGGAATTCACAACTTCACTATTGATAGAATCATGGATTCTCTACACACTAGGCGTAGCAATAGTGCTCTGCCGTCTGATTTCGAGAAGAATTAAACTTGGGAAGTGGCGGAATCTGATGATTGATGATTATCTCATGCTTTTTGCTCTGGTTCGTTTCCACTGCCGTCTGTATCTCTGTCCACAAATTCTTGCAATTTAGGAAAACTACGGCCTGACAATGGCTTCTAACACGGAAACATGGTGGTCCAGCTTGGGTCACTGCTTTTCTGACTTTGTTGGCTTTACATCACTCAGCCTAGACTAACACCAGTAGCGTTATAGGTCAATTTTACCGGAGTGGTCGTCTCTATAAATGAGGTAGCCAAGAATGGAAGTAATTACATGTCGCCGGAGGACGCGGCAGCCTTGACACCTGATGGCGTCGACCGAGCCATTTACGGCAGCATCATGACGTTTGTACTCGAGATATTTACCATTACTGGAACATGGACCATCAAGTCCTGTCTTCTGATACTTTATGCTCGTCTCACGTTAGTTGCTAATGGAATCCTGCCGTTCTAAAACCACACATGCCGCCGTGGTACTAACTCCCACTAGGAGACACATTCTAGCGAAGCAATACTTGATGGTCAAGATTGCGGCAGGCTACTGTATAGTTACATATCTTGTCGTCATCTTTATGTTCGTTTTCTACTGGTGCAGCCCGACGCCCGAATACTGGGCCGTTCCCGTTCGAATTGACCAATGCGCCACATATTACAACCATATGATCTTCGCGACAGCTTGCAATATATCATCCGATATCCTGCTACTACTAATCCCTATTCCTATTATTTTCAAGACGCGATTACCCACGAAGCGAAAGATTATTCTCGTTTGTATCCTTGGCTTGGGTGTCTTCAACATCCTTGCCGCCATCCTAAACCGATACTACAACTTCAGCAACCCCAATTCCTATGTATTCTTGTACTGGTACGTTGCCGAGGTGGGAATCGCCATGCTGGTTGGGAATATGCCATTGTGCTGGCCGGTTTTCCGAACAGTGTTCGGCGGCACCGACACGACTGATACCCCGTCATACCATGGATACACCATCAGTGGAGGAGGCCGCAAGAAGAAGAAACCAAAAAATATTCTCAGCACGACTATTCTGGGGTCAACAACAATGTGGGATAAATTGGACGAACAGGAAGGCCCAGGCGTCGTGACCCAAGGCTCCCGTGAACACCAACCTCCGTCAGACCAGGGAAGCCAAATCGAATTGGTTCTACAAGGACGCGTGCAAAATCATCATCACCATGCTGCTGTCAGCGCGAATCCAGAACAGACAGACGAGATACACCGATCAGCGGCCAAGCCGTCCTGCAGCACCGGAAGCAGTCAACAGGGAGCGACAGAAGATAAAATTGTGGTTGTTACTACGGTAGACGTTTCTTCAACTGATTCCCACAAATAAAGGATGCGGAGGGTTGGCTTCAAAGGGCTTAGTTCGTTTTGTTTTGATTGGGGCTCGTGATCCGGAATTGCAATGGTGTTGTGAGTTTATTTAATATTTTGTAGGTGACAGAACACGCCTGGCGCCATTATTCCTCCATTTTCGGGGCATTGAATTGCGTTGCCCCCATGCGCAGCTATGTCTCTGATAATACCTTATCACTTTCCTTTACCATTTGCCATAGAACCTCACAAGGCTATTCGCCATTAGGATGGCGCGTAGAGGCGTAAAAGCAGAAGGATATACCCTCGGAATTGGGATTAGAATTTCACGACACTTGATTCATCAGTCACCTCCGATATCCGCTTAATGCACGTGCTATCTGCGCCTCAATAGCTTGAGACAATTTCTCACGTGTAGCCAGATCACCTTGGTATTCACCAAGATACCCTACCTAGGTACATAGGTATTTAACATTGTTTACGAGGTGGAGCTCCCGCTTGGAGACAAAAAGGTGCTCCGTCATCAGCATAGCAAGGGGACTAGCAGACTACTCGTGCCACGCCCCACTATTTTATAAAGGTGGTGAGTGAAACGAGGCCCCTAAAATAGTGGGGCGTGGCACGAGTAGTAATTTTCCTAGGATCTAACCCTTGGCTTACTACTCCACCACTCGGGATGTTCCTTTCTGAAAGGAGGGGGATGTGCATACGTAGTCCATTTTCAGAGTTAACAGGGTACACATTGAAATGGAGCAGTCTTGGAAAGACACTGTTAGTCTACAGGCAGAGGCGGTTACGACATCATACGAAGGGGGGGCAATGGCCAATCTTCAAAGGTTCGTTTCAAACAGCGTTGGTGCCGCCAACTTCAACGACGCCATGTTGGATAACGTAGTACCACCTTGGCAATTCTAGCTAGTCTGGGGGCCGATCTCAAGCGGCAAGGAGTTAAGATGAGGAACTGGGACATTAATGCCTTGTGCTTTATGTACTTATCGGAAAGCTATCCCCACCGCGACTAGGCATTTTTTTGTTCGATTTCCACAACCAATTACAGTCACTTCGGCTGGATTAGTAAGTGGGGTGTATATTAGGGCTCGTACCGCCTATAATATATACTAGTGTAACTTATACTTTTTATCCCATATAATAGGATAATATATACAATTATAATAGGTTATAAGCCTT